CACACACAGAACAGAAAACAGCCATTCTGCCCTACAAAGGGCAAAACTGTACTAACGATAGCACAAAACCCATTTCAGTTTGCAGAGCAAGGCATTTAGTGGTAGCATCAGGCCATTCTTATCAAGTGACCGAATCATGCATGCCTAAGCAGTAATTAGTTTATACAAAACATGACTCAAATAATATGGTACAAACACACAGTGTCATGTGTGAGCCTTTCCAACTGCACTAAGCTGATTAAACTTCTGAAAAAAAGATTAAAACAGCATTTAAACTTTAGACATTTTATCTTTTTTTCCCCCTCAGCATTTTACTTGTCTTTCACTTCCTCAGGATTGTCTCGATGATTTTTTTTTTGGTTTTTTTTGTTGTCCCGTTTGGATCTATAGCCATCAGAATTGTTGTCTTAAGGCCAAGAAAGATGCCAAGCGGATTTATTTTACCATGATGATCCACTTGATGGAGATGATGAAGCAATTATCATCTCCATCATACTTGTTAGATGAGAGAAGGCAAGGAGTTGCAGAAAAGGGTGCTGGGTAGGAGTGCTGTAGATGTGATGGTGCAGGATAATGGACAGGTGGATGTGACAGTGGAGTAGACTGTCAACATCTGAAGAGTTGACTATAAGTCTTGGCTTCTTTGCTTTTGACTTCGTCTCCTTATCAGTGATTATGAAGCGATATTGTTTGAGTGGCGACACTTATCCACATACGTTCTATAGATTGGCATCTTGCAGCATCACAGCAGTAGCTGGAGGCTGCGGTGAAGCAGGAGGAAGAGGCTGCACTAGTAAAAGATGAGTAAAGATCACAGGAATTGTAGATGCAGAGGGCTGTAAAGGCACAGCTTCAGATGTTAATATAGTTGATACAGAAGAGTCCACCTGTTCTTGTTGTGCTGCATGCTAAGCCTGATGTATGTGTAGGTGAATCCCTTGTAGCTGTTGTTGGACTGTGAACCACAACAAGGTAACTGCACGCTAGTTGAGGGAGACAACTGTAATGTGGCTAAAATGCAGCTTTGTGGCATGAAGGGTGGGACAGGTGAGCACTCTGTGGATATGAAATCAATTTGACCATTTAGTCCATTTCCACTTAAATTAGATCTGCCTTCAAACTCTTTCATCTTCTGGTTTCTTGTCTACCAACATGCATCCAGCCACTCCCATCTTTCATCTGGACTAAAGGATATCTAGCGGTTTTCCCCAGGCTATAGGTGTCACTGCATTAATTGGTCTCAGTGGAGGTGTTTGCCTTATTGTGCTGATTACAGGACAATGACGAGGGAGGTTAGGTGAGTTTAAGGCTACGTCCACACCTACACGGATATTTTTGAAAACGCAGATTTTTCCATGCGTTTGTACCTTTCGTCCACACGTAAACGATGTTTTCGGTCACTGAAAACAGATTTTTAGAAACTCCTGCCAGGGTGGAGATTTTCAAAAACTCCGTTTTTGCGTTTATGTGTGGACGGGGAAAACGGAGAAAACGCAACGTCAAAGGTGTGCGGCTTTTTTGATGTTACAAGGGCGGACTTACAGAATATACTGTTAGTGTTAATTATACTCTCTGCAGTGTTTAAATGCTTACATATACACATAGAGTTACTGTCGCTCCACACATAGGACTCAGTTCTGCTTCTATGCACCATCTTTGTTTACTCTTTCCCACCCAGGCTTCTAGACTTCTGATTGGCCAACATTTCTACACGGTTAGGAATATATCGCCAACTGTTGCTTTGGCATGTTCCTGGCAGCGTTTTCCTTCATGGGATTGGGCGTGGGATTTAAAAAAATGAAAATGGAAAAAATCTCTGTTTTCAAAAATACCCGTGTACCACTAGCCTGGATAGATTTGAAAAAGGCGTTTTTGTCGGAAAACGCTCCGCGTCCACACTAGCATTTTCAGTCATTTTCACAGCGTGTGCGTCCACATTGAAATGGCCAAAAATGCAACATTCCAGTACTGCGCATGCTTGCCGTTTATTTACTTTCCCGCTCTTTTTTTTTTTTGCCTGTCCCATTTGGTTCTTTAGTCATCAGAATTGTTGTCTGAAGACCAACAAGGATACCCAATGGATTTATTTTGCCAAATGGATCAT